GGCGATCACAATGCCCCTACCGCCAAAGCCCCATCAAGCAATCAAGCATTGTCTTGCGAGAATATACTTTGAGCATCGTTTAAGTTTTTTGCCACTTGAAAACAGAAAAGCAGACGTGAATGTTGTTAACCTTCATGTATTAGTAGACATTTCAGCACAAAAACGCCTTGTATTCAAGAGCGCTTGAAAAAAGCCAAGCACGAAAAATTGCAGAACGTGCCACAATAATGCATGCATAAACACGGGTTGCTCTTCACTGTAGGTCTAGGTAGCTATTTTCAGATTACAGGGTCATTGTGGATTAACCGTGTTTCAAAAAATTTTTTAAATGATATGAAAAGCTAAGTGTCAAGGTATTTATTCATGCTTGCCGATTTCAAACTTTTTGCCAGTTTATGGGACTTTATTAAAAAGTGTTTCCACATTTTCAAAAGTCACTGTCGAAACTGACATTCGGTTTACAAAGTGTAGCTTATTAACGAAGCATTGCGGAAATGCTCAAAGTTCCAAAAAGTAGGCGGCAAGTTAGCCTAGCATAAGAAGTTTCAAGATGTCTGGTTTGTTTTCCGAGCTGAAATAGATCTTCAATAGCTAAAAACCTTCTTCAGAAATTCTATCGTGATCTTTCCGTAAAGAAGAGCGTAAATATAAGTTGAAATCAGCCCTAAAGTATGGCGTTTTACATTATTTTGGGCACTCTGTATCAATCACATTTCTAGCCAGTGACGAGCTAATTTTCTCTTTGCCAACCCGAGTCATCCGTGATAATATGGCAAAATCAGGGATACGACGACTTTAGCACGCATATCCAATATGGCAACGTAACTTGAAATCTAACATATCATCAGGCAATGTCAAAGCTGGACAGTAAAAAATGGATTACGCTTTTCATCTCATGCTACTGCGTTGAACTTTGCTACAATAAAAACGATGTTCCCTACAAAATAATTTTGGCTTCAGAAGAACGCTGTTGCTTCTGAATATTCAGATCCGAAACGAAAGTTTGTTTATTGTTTCCAATGTCAGGATAATATGTTTCAGATTACAAGGGTCTTGCTGATCGCAATATGCTTTTGCATAAACTGCTGTTGTTCGCCTTCTTGGTAACTGTATATGGTCACAATTTTCTCATGCCCAATGTACTTGATTTTATTTTTTCTTCGGTAAGTAGTTCGTTCAAGCTCATTTTTTGCCTCATGTGCGCTTTGCAGTGCATCAAAAGCTGCCTTCAAAGCTTCACGAACGCTGCTGTAGAAGGAGATAATCTGGCTGCATGGTGCGTTCGGAATTGCACGGCCAAACCGAATCTATACTTTTCTCATTCCGCATAGTCGTTGAGAATAAACTTGCCTGTTTGTGGTATTTAGTAACATAGCTTAGAACTTTGATCTGACTTTTTTTGATAGCTTCCTAAGTTACTAACCTAAACTGGTTTCTCTAAAAAACGAGACTTGCATGTATCTTCGAGTTTGACGTTTCTGCAATGTCACTCACAAAGAAATTCGCGTTTGCAAATGGGGTAAAAAGCAATAAGCGTAAAAATTTCTAAGCGGGCCTTTTTTTGAAGGCTACGTATTTTGGAAAAGTTCTTTGCGTGGAACGTCTTGATAGTGCGCAATGTAGTGGAGCCGTGCTCCTAAGGTCATACCTTACGAGATGTGGAAGGTTAGCGAAGTTTTGGTGGAACTATACGAATGGACGCTGCTCCAAGATGGAAGATGTGATAGAGAAAGTTCAAGCGCTTCCTTTAGAGCGAATAATTGCTTTGATTCTTATCTACTGTTTGTTTACCTCGAAAATGGAGTACAATCAAAAAGTTTGTCGACCGTTGGTGGCGTACATGTACCCAGCATTATTTCAACAAAATGTTTTGTTCACGAAATATGCTGTACATTTGTACCTAAAATGGCAAACCTTAGATTAATCCTTGGAAAACTTGCACGCTTGACAAAGAGCTCGAATGGAGTTCAATATCTTGTAGTTTCTTATGCAAATTTACAATTATACATAGCGTAGAAAATTCGTTTCACGTTTCAAAAGTGGCCTCGAAGTGGCCGGTTACCACAGTATGCATATTGTTACAAAGCTTGGAATGCTCATTTCAAAGCCTTCGGGAAGTAAATTATGGGCATTTTTATCATCGAAATCTACATGGTTTTGAGTAAGCACAAATACTAAATATTGATGAAATTGCTCGTTGCGCCAGAAAACACTTTTCAAGGTCATTCTCTGAGATTTAAGGTTCATTGAGAGTGAGTGCAGAAACGCCTATAAACAAGAAAGGAAAAGAATTTCAATACAAAGTACAGTCATAGTACAACGTACATTAATAATGCTAGAGGAGTTGGAGTCATAGGATCGATATTTTTATAATCTGCAGAAAATGTGCTGCTTACAAAAAAAAATGTGCTGTATTGTAGAATGAGATATACGGACTTCTGATTTCTGATTAAGATACGTTAAAATTTTGCATTTTGTAAATTTAGCGCTGTCAGAAACTTTTAGATTCCAAGTACAGTGGATTTGGAAACAAACATTTTATATGCGTTACACTAATTTTTCACATACATAATATTACATGCAAATGCTATACGTACTAATCAAATGTGCAATTTAATACGCTAAAGCAAAGAAATAGGATAGAGAAACTCACGCTGCAGTGAAAGTGACATTTTATCAAATAAAGATTCGCTTTGACTGAAATTTTATTTTACGTCTTTATAAATATCATAACCCTTGAAGGCGCTGCACACCCTAAGTTAGGAGTGTTGAGCTTGTGGCAGCATACAATAGGGGGTCCACCAAGCCAATGCCCAAGTAGTGGGGCAAAATGTCACTTTGGAAGCGAGAAAATGCAACGCTCCTCCAGTAATGCCCGCCCATCCGTGCTATCCCATCCAGTCGCGATGCCAAGAGCCCACACGCGGGTTTTTGGAACAGGGATTGGCGAAGTTTACGCGGATTCTCGATTCCATATCCGGAAGCAGGAATAGGGAAGGCCTCGGAACGACACAAACATAAAAGTCGAGAATCTGAATGGACGGGGCTTCTAGGCGCTCAAGAATGGGATCTGTACATAATTCCACCATATTCGCAACATTTCGCTTGTTTTTGGGTAAATTCTAATACTGAGCGTGGAAGCCTCAAAGCCTCTCAAAGGTTTTGCCGTAACTCGACTTGTTTACTGTATGCAGCGGTTTCATTCTTTGGAAGTGAAAGCTGAAAATTGAATAAAGGAATTTGCACTTTTATCAAATTTGGTGAAAATAATGACCCGTTCTTCTCTTGCGGTAGTAATTTTTTGAAGAGGCTTTAGCAACCTAGAGTTTTCCACAGTTCAATATCAAGTCAGTACCTTGTCGCATTTTTTCGACATATCCATGCTCGAAGGCTAATTGCTCCTCCAATATAAGGAAATGTAAAAATTTTTGAATTAACTTATTTCATCATAAAAAACTTGTAAAATCACCATCCGTTTCAAACAATTCGATGTGGTGCTGCCATACTTAATATTAGCTATTTGAAAAGTCTGCTTCAATAACACATACTGTCCCTGTTCAATCGTCAATCCTTCTCTGTTTCGCGAAAATCCTTTCTATATCTACACATTTTTATCTCAAGCATGGAGTATGTGCCTAGAACATTCGAAGCTTAGTCTTCTTCGCTTCGAATTCGGTTATTAGAAAAAATTCGCCTTTCGCTAATTTTTTCTTCTTCTCTTCTTCTATACTTCTCTTTGTCTAGTCAGCATTTTGTGCAAATTGCTTTAAAGCTAAGCCGCTGCGAACTCCTCAAAAATGCGTAAACCTTCGCAATGTTTAAAGAAACATTAATAGAAATTGTTAAGCGCCAGCTTATGCCAAGCAATGGCAGTTAGCACTATGCAAGAATCAAATCATATTTTGCTATACACGCAACGATCTACTGTAAGCAACTATTTCAAATTACAAAGTTTACTACATCATTCACGTATTCGCTGGATTAATTTGAATCTTTTTCAAAACCCGAAATCTATCAATTTTGGAAGGGCTTAGTGCAGTTGCATTTGAGCACTTTCGTCGAGATGTGGTGAAATTTGCACCTATTCGCGCAAATTGATAAAGACTGTTATAGAATATGCAACACTGGGAACTTCTGCACCCCTTATAAAGTAATGAGAAACTATATGTATATTCAACAAGGAAATTTGTAAGAAAAGCACAGTATGCAAGAGGGAAAAGGTTTCTCAAAAGTTTGTAGAATTACGACGCATAGTAGAGCGCAGACATATTACAAAGCATTCGTGCAAAAGGATCAGACAAACACATAAGTAAAACGGAATTTTTCTTTTGGACATGTCTATTTCTTCTCTTCTGAAGTCAACTTTAGCCCATTGGTTCTTTATTTACCACCTTACGTACGCGAGTGCGAACCCGGTCCCTCATCCACTTCTCAAAATTCTCAAATTTCCTTTTAATTACATCTAATATGAATTATTTTTTGGGTAATGTGATTTTATCAGTTCGCAGTCGATTTGTTCCAACACGATGATGGATGCACAAATTTATTCTTGACATGCTGAAGTGCAACAGACCACAAAACTAGAGCTGCATTATGTTAACATATCTGAAAGCAGCCGCATATGTCGAACTTCTCAGCTGGTTTTCCACCTGTAATAGCGTCAGATCCCATTTGTCCCTGCTCCAACCGGCAATGATGAAATTAGTAATCTAAAACATTCCAGATTTTTAAAAATTTGCAATTTCTGCTAAAAGAGAAGGTTTTTTTCTGTATCTGCGTGTAACTTTCCTATGGTTACTCACCTCAAGGCTGACTGTGAATTGTTGATGTGCAAGTGGAACTTCGTAAAGTGGAGGTGGTAGGGGTTCCCCGCTACCACAGTATCCTCCTTGAGCTATGTAAGCTATATTAGTCACCAAATCGTCCTCTACAACGCAAAAAAGTGGAATTGCACCTGAAATAGAAGCTAACGTCATTGACATAAGTTTTGCAACAAAATTTCAACAATTACTTTCTCTTGGGATCGACTCTTGTCCTTCAATAAGGCTTGAGCATTTCAGCGGGTAGCCGTAAACAGTTGGTTTGATTTGACTGGCAATGTGCGTGATGTTTTTTTCAATTCCATCTTTTATTGCTTCACGTCTAATAGCGAAAATCACCTCAAAAGTTTAAAGACTTCTCAAAGTCAGCTGGGCACTAGTATAAAATTTTACCGCTTTCTTGATGTAATTTCTGATATTTTTCAAGGCTTCATCTTTATTCGTGGCAAATTTTGGTTTGTTGGCGAGTACTTCTCCATATTCAGTATAGGCAAACTCCAGAGGTAATATCAAAAGCCCATCAACCAGGAAACACACTCTCACACTTGAAGAGGATGCATTTGTATCACCTAGATGTTTATATGTATTAGTTTAATCAGTAAGCTCTTGCACAGAAAATAAGAAAGGAATTTGCTCCAAAAGTACGTAAACTGTTTCGTATGTAATCCATAACTTATTGCAAATGCTGTATTTTTTTCTTCTTTTTCGAAGCAAAATTGAGATCTCGAGTAAAACACTCGGGACTTATAATTGTAGAAATACTCGATTAGCGCAGATTACCCTTCAATTAAAAATAAGCCATTAGGCCACAATCAGTTCAATACATTGTCATCGTCCGGGATCCTATTACAGATTTGAACAAAATTCCTTAGTAAAGCTGCTCATTAAGCAGTAATCAGCAATTATTCCGAAGAAGGCGACATAACCCGAAACTCAAAGTATCAATAAAAATATGATAATAATAATATAATAGTAAAAATTATATCTCTAGAATTTTGGCTTGGCTATCTTGGGCTTTGGCGCGGCATCTCTCGGCTTTTGGCTCCGTAATTTGCCAATATTACTATTTCCTCAAGTAAATCAAAAAACAGCATCTTTTTTTGAGCACTATTATTGGAGGTTCGTCCAAACCAAAAAAGTAACCATTTTTGCAATTTTTTGCAAACCCTTTGGATATTTCAATATTTTCCATGCAGTGAATAAAGGCCAAACAATTTCTAAAGGGCCAGGCATACTTCACGCGATTTCAGTCGCGACACGAATTGGCAATTCGCCAGAAGTCTTCAGATCCGATACTAGCAAACTGCGCATGCATAGTGTGTATAACTTACACGGATTGATAAAATGCCCTATTTTCTGCACATTTGAAATGTGCTTGTAGTGAGTTATGGACAATTGGAATGTTGCCAAGTCGCGTCGCGACTGAAATTGCGTGAAGTATGCCCGGCCCTTAACAAGCATTAGCTTTCGATTTCTGTGGAGTTTGAGAAAGGGTTCATACCCAAAGACTATACTAATTCTCAAAAGTGCAATAAGCTCCTACTTTCTCTTCAAACTCACCTTGACCAAGTAGGAGAGGAGAACAAGCAAACGCGGCAATGGATGCAGATAGAATCAGCGCACCGAACATCTTCCCGCGTCCAATGTCGTCTAATCTTATCATGGTAAATTTATACCGATCACAACTAGAGTGCTTGATTTTTATGGACAAGGAAAGAAATAGAATTTCGAAACCGCAATCTCTAGACGGTACTGTTGGCAATTTTTTGTGGGCGATTTGCTGGAAAACAGAGCCATACAGGGCCACAGGAAGAGGATAAAATCATGACTTATTAAGGAAATTGGAAAATATGAAACTTAGATTTTTTTCTAGTATGTAGGTCAAATGTGCTTGTGTTTCTGTGTACTTTACGGTCTTGTCTAGATAAACTGCCATTCAAGGCATTTTGTTCGATTAAATTCTAGCACTTTCCCAAATACCAAAAGTGTAAGTTAGACGCGTTTTGGAGAAAACATTTGAAACTATTTAGGATACCCTTTTCCTTCTATTTTGTGCGAACCTATAAAGTCGAAATGCTGTGTATTTGAACGTAATGCTGGTACAAGGCCCCATAAAAAAAACTACCCTTCAACCCTCATAAACCCTCGAGAGTAAGAAATGTGCAACGCAACATATGCAAAGCAACAAAATGAGACATAGAGTAATAAAACATCACATTGAGTGAAGAAGTTTTTTTCAAAGTCGGTGCTCATTCAAACAAAGATATACCGTAGCTAAAATTCTTTTTTAGGACACAATAAATGTCATTACATTCAAGTACTCATAAAATATGCGTGTATGATTTTGGTTCAGTTTTTGCAACACTATCAAATTGCTTTTGAAGCTTTTTTGGTGATATTGATGACCTTAACACATTTTGTATTCTATGGAAGTTTTTTCGGCAACTTTTGAAAAAATTGGAAATTTGGAAAAGGGGTCGGCGGCTGTCGCTACTTCCTAAGTCGATGCACCAGGACAAGAAAGAATATTTTGGAAATTATTACGTTATTCTTCTCATCTGATCATCTATGCTTTGTGACGGATAACTTACAGTCCGAGAACATCGCGTACGGAATTTCGGAGAGAACTGTGGTATTAGCTTGGACAATACAAAAATAACCATTATCGATAGTTCATTATTTCCTCCTTCCCTTTCTTCCTTCTCTTTCATTCAATCGTCGTCCATATCTGGCTTAACTATGCCGCCACGAACACTTAGGTGAATACTAAACTTTCTCAGAGCTAAAAGGAGCTTCATTGCTAAGCCGTGAAGCAACCAACAATTTTCTGCGTAAATTCACGCAGATAAATGCTAATAAATTATTTAACGTGAGCGGCCAAACAATACATTGAAAAGATTTTCAGGCTAGTTGATTCTTTTTGAGAATTCGAATATCGTCAAAAATTGAGAAGAAGTGGATGCTATCTATATAATTCATATAATTTTTCCATGGACGGAGTGATTGCACAATTTCAAAAGGGTAGAAATGTGCATCACTGAAGTTTGGGTTGCAAAGCATTCCTAAAAGACGTTTAAGCTAATGGGCAAGTCTCAGATGAGTACAGGCGCTACAGGCGGAATCCCCTTTGGTGTGATTTCTTCTTTTTCTTTTGTCAAAGCAGTGTAGCTCATGTATCTCCTAATGTTCTTACATAGGTGACCACTCAGTTTCTCATATGCTAATCAAAATTTCCAATTCAATGCAGCAAATTTGCGCAGTCGGGCATTTCTTGAACAATCCTTTCTTTTAAGAACGTAGGTGCCTAGCTTTTCACTAGATAAATGTCCTTGATATTCTTAATTTTATGTGTCCCAACACGAGAATGGATGCTTTGCATTTATTTTCACATGCTGAGATGCAACAGACCACAAAACTAGAGTTGCATTATGTTAACAGTTCTAAACGCAGCCGTATAACTCGAACTTCTCAGCTGCCTTTCCACCTGTAACAGCATCAGATCCCATTTGTCCCTGCTCCAACCGGAAATAATCGAATTGCTAATCTGAAGTATTCTAGATTGTTAAGATTTGTGCATCAGAATAACACCTTAGTTGTGCGCCGTTTCATGATCTCTGGCTTTTGCCATCACCAAAAGTGGAATTTGATAGCATCAGAAAAATATTTCTAAAAAATTTTCATGGCTATAGATGCCGCAAAATTGCATTATATTACCCTTTGTTTGCTCTATCTAACTGTTGCCAGCTTTTTCGAAAGTCAAAAATAAAGATTGTGAAATATTGCCAAACTTGGACATAGTAAAAACCATGGGTTCGAAATTTCGGCGCTTATCTCAGTGAGCAAAAGAGTAATCGGCACGTAGGCTTGACATTTAGAAAGAGAAAGAAAAGATGCATCTTGTAGTGCTTAGAGCTTTTCCCTATCTTCTTTCCACGCGTTTTTATGATAGGTTGAAAAAACGGACAAATCTTTTTTCGGGACAACCTAATATGATTGTTTAATCTCTTTTGGAAAATTATCTGGGAATAAGCATCCGGAAACATTTGTTTCTCTTTATCCGATATACTCGGGATTGTTTGTAAGCACTCAGAAATTGATTATATTGGCAGGATTCAGCAATATTTAAATTATTATGTTTCCTGAAAACAAAAATGTGCATGATAAGTAAAGCAAACAGCTGCTACATATCCTGAAAAACTTTACATAACTCATCCTACGGGGTTTCTGAATGTACGCAAGATGGAGCATTTTATCAACCTATGAAAGTTATACATGCTGTGCATTTGGGGTTTACCAGTATTGAACTTGAACACATTGGCAAATTGCCAGGTAGTGTGGCGACTAAAATCGCTTGAGGTATGTCCTTTGCCTTACACAGCTGTTTGAAATCAAATCAGTAACTTCTAGCTTTAGACAATATTATGCTGAAGCTGGCTAAGGTCTTCCTAGTCCCTGAAATTCTGGGGGAAAATTGTGAAAAATCCATGGCGTAAAGGGAATCTGTAAGAGTTTGTTCTTTTACAATTTATGACGACAGAAAGAATTTGTCTCAACCGTAATATCCCTCTTCGACAGGCACACCCGTCTCGCGAGTGCTTGAAAAAAGATTGTTATATCCAGCCTCAGCTTAATTTTTATCTCCATTGTTCAATGGCTAACATATTCAAAGTCTGGTCTTCTTCGCTCTGGGATCTGGATATCACGAAGATAGCCATTCTTTACACTTCGCTAATTTTTCCCCCTATTTGTTTGTCTCTTCTCTTCCGTACAATCGTCATTTTGCAGATTGCTTCTTTGAAGTTAAACCTTTGTGGATACCTAAAATCGTAAACTTTCGCAAAGTCAAGAGGAACTTCAAATTCAATGCCAACCCATGAAAAACTGAATTCTATGCGTAAAATCAACAAGTACATCCCAACTCTATCCCCGAGGGCAAACAATGCAAGCAATGCAACCAACGGATTTGCCAAGGAGATTGATTTCCCTCAAAAATCTATATTTCATCAATTCAAAAAATAAATGATCGTTACTTTTCAAAAAGTTTGCATACAATGACGATTCATAATTTTACTGCGCAGAGTAGGAATGTGCATTACTAAACGGTCCGCACTCTTATAAAGTTCTGGAGAGCTTTGGAGTACAAGGTGTATCATATTCATTAAACTTTATGAGAAAAGCACGACGGCACAAGGAAAGATTTTTTACCACCATATAGCATTACGGTTTATCGGACGCTTGTGTTTTCACTTTGAGTATGACTTCTTTTTGCCAGGTCAACTGTAATTTATGTAATTCTTAGTGTTCGCCTAATATAGGTGAGCATGTAATCATTCTTTGAAAGCTTCAGATCCTAGATTTGTTTAAATATTAGAGCATACAGCAAAGAAAGCTCTTCTTTTTCTAAAGCACATGTTTGGCCTTTGAATAGTTAAACCTAATATGCGCTATTTTCTATATAAATGTCGTTGATATTTTCGACAGCTGCGCAGCATATTGAATGCTTCAGATTTATTTTCACATGCTGGGATGCAACAGACCACAAAACTAGAGTTGCATTATGTTAACAGTTCTAAAGGCAGTCCCATAAGTCATACTTCTCAGCTGTTTTTCCACCTGTAACAGCATCAGATCCCATTTGTCCCTGCTCCAACCGGCAATGATGGAATTGGAAACCTGAAGTATTCAATATTGTTAAGATCTGTGCAGTTTTTCTTCTGAAAGGAAAAGAAGCCTGTTTATAAGATTTTGCGTCTAGTATTTCAATGAGCACTCACAGCTAGGGTGACTGTGAACTGTTGATGTGCCGGTGGAACCTCATAAAATTCCGGTAGTTCGGTGTTGTCTCCTTCTTTTTTTGGAGCAGTGTACGCTATGTTAGTCACCAAATCGTCTTTCACTACACAAAACAGTGCAAGCGGTTCTGAAAAGAAGTTCTACTTATTTATACTAAAGTTTTGCTCTAGAGGTTTCGAAAAGTACTGGGTGTTGCATTTTCTTCGGCAGATGGGATCGACGTCGTTCCTTCAATAAGGCTCGAGCATTTCAGCGGACTACCGTACACAGTCGGTTTAATCTGGCTGGCAATGTTTGTGACCAAATGTTCAATTCCAGCTTTCCTGGCTTCCTGTCTAATAACGGACGTCACCTTAAAATTTCATGTATTTTTTGAACATAATCGAATATTAGTAGAAAATTTTACCGCTCTCTTGATGTATTGTCTGATATTTTTCATGGCGTCATCCTTATTTGTAGCAAATTTTGGTTGCTTGTCGGTGACAGCTTTCGTTTCAGAATAGGCAAATTCCAGAGGTATTTTCATAAGTCCATCTGCCAGGAAGGATACTCTCACTTCTAAATACAAAGACTGGTTGCACCATCATAATCATTCCCTAGTGGAGTTCCCAATCAAGCGCTGCTCAACGTTATAGCGATACGGTAAAAATGATTGAACAAGCTTTTAGAATTCATCTACACAATCTCTATCCAGGAACTCCTTACCTTGACCAGCTGGTAGGGGAGAGCAACCGAAGGCGAGCGCATTGGATGCTAGTAGAGCCAGGGCACCGAACATCTTGCGCTAGATGTCGTTTCCTCTTATCACAGTAAATTTATACCAAACACATTGAAGTGTTCAATTTTTATGATCAAACAAAAAATGGCAACACCAAAAGTGCTATTTTTTGCCAGAATATTAACTGAGATGTTCTTTGTCGGCTAATCGCTGAGATGCTTGCTCACCAACGGAGGAATAGGGATTTTTGGACTAAACTGAAAGAAATAGAGAGCACAAAGTACACAAGTAAAAGTAAAGTATCAAGATGTGGTCGATTACTGAGGAATGAAAATGATTAGATTCATTGTACAAATTTAGTGCGATCTTCTTCAATAAGACTCAAAAAAAATTTTTTTACAACCAGAACCATGATCGTTCAAAAACTTTCGAAACATTATCTTGAAATAAGCATCCAAAAAACCTTTGTTTCTCCTTTTTCGATACACCCGGACTATCTGTATGCTCACAAAATTTATTATATTAGAAACGGTTTTAGCGGTACATACTTTGACCCCGTAAACCCTGGAATGCTAGAGATGATAGATTGTAATGCGAATGCAATTCAAAGACATAAACAAAAAGTTACATTATGGTAAAGATGTTTTCTCAAAGTCGGTTTCTTATCAAACAAAGACATGTTCCGGCTAAAATTTTGCTTGTGACTGTCTCAATAGGTGTCATAACATTCGAGTATTCATAAAATATGCCCATTAATTTTTCTTTCATATCTTTGCAACATTGTTGCATAAATCTGAACTAAGATTGATTCGTTTATTACGGAAAGGTTGGAAGACAGGGCTCGGCAAAATTGGCACCGGGCCAAGCTGGACATCGCTCACATAAAGCGAGGTGAAACTGTTTTTTATTCAGTCGATGTTTCGTTTTTCTACGTTTCTTTTACATCTAGGGTTTAGGGTCAAGAGGGACTTCGTACGAAATGTTTTGAGATTAAAGGGGACTCCGTTTATTTCCCTGTCGCCAGCTCATGCTGAGACTTATTAGAAGATGGAATTTTGTAAACTGGCATACTGATCACATGTATGCCAGCAATTTTATTCGCTGATGGGGGATAAAAACTAGAAATTTTCAAAAAAACACTAGAATGTGTCTTCTTTGATTTAATTCAAAACGTATTCTGAGATACTATATCGATTTTCTTTAAGACAGTAACTCATTAAAATACTGTTTGGTGCAACCCGGTGTAGCAAAATGTGTCGCGTGGAGCGGCGCTTCCGCATCGCTGAGTCTTTGCAGCGGAGAGGAAGCGGTGCGTGGCGTGCGCGCGTCATTTCAATTTCTGCCTAAATCGGATTGGAACAGGCGATAGCAAGCAAAATTATTTAAAGATTGTTCAGGTTAGCTCTGTATTGTTTCGATGTGCACACATTTACGCCTAACTGCAATTATCATCAAATCTCTTTCCTTGTTTAAGACAAGACCTTACATCGTACACCTACAGTAATCTTACAAAAAAGCCCTTATCACGCAACTTTAATATCATTTTCGTGATCATCAGGATAGAATACCCCCCCCCTCCCCCATCCTATGCCAAGTTTCAGCCAAATCTGTCGAATTTTATAATCTTTCCCTTAATCCACATACATACCGTGACCCTCACTGCGACGTCAGAATCTGACAGAACAACAGCTGCTTGTAGCTTTCCTCATAATCTACGTAATGAAAAAATGTGTGTGCCACGTTGAGAGGGAGGAGAGCTGTCGAATGAGTTGCAAGACTTAGTTTCCAACCTAATATTAAAGAGGTTCACACCAACACTTCCACTTGTTCAGATATTGTTGTTTTGACTGCGTTTTTTTGTTAGCGTTTGTTCCTTATTCATAGGGGCACCCCCGCACAATGAATAAATTGCGGCACTGCAAAAGATATACGAGACTAAGATTTATTTTGCACTATCTCAATATCTACCGTTTGCTTCAACCAGATCGGGGCTGGAAGGCGGGACTCCTTGACCTAGATAAGGTTAGGAAATGACCAGAGAGCATGCTCGCGAGGGAGGCGCAGACTGCGTCACGGACGCGAGCAGTCGCCTACTAGGTCATGAAGCCCCGCCTTCCAACAGCCGATTTGATTAAAACAAAGTGTAATAAGCAAAACTACGGCAGAAGGATCATACTAATTAATCTCACAACATCCAATGCATGCAAACTATCAAAGCCAAGTCATTTTGTAGCGTTGTTAATGTTCAGTTTATCGAGTGCATATGTTGTCGATGAGAATTCCATACGGAATCGTGAAAATGCTGGTTCCAAGTCGGAAATATGGCGGATAATCTGGAATTTGGTGATGAGTCTTATCCAAAGTACAAACCATAACTGCATACCTCTACACTTCTAGTGAACGGGTCGTAGATCACCGCAAACGGTCTCTCCATTGACAGCGCGTATTCTCTGAAAGAAAACTCACTGATTCACGATACGTCTTTTTTTTTGTTATACAGCAATGATTATACGATGCTGTAGGATTTACTCGTTCTTTAGCCACAGGACCGGTGGATAATACGCCGATCTTTGCAATCACTTTTATTTGCGACTCGCTATTTTTCAAGCTTATGGCAAGCTTTGTGTAGTAGTGTCTGGGTAGCAAATACAGTATTGTAAAATCTTTTTAAAATTTCTGCTTCCAATAGCCTAGAATTGGGACAAGGTTGGCATCGAGATTGCAAATTGGACAATTGCCAAGCTTGTTCCTTCGATCAAGATGACAAAAGTTGGGATGAGATGTAAGAGTACGGTCTATTCCAGCTCGATTTCGGCCAAAAGTGGGATAACGCGCACCGGCTTGAGTCGCATCACAACGCATTGTATCATATAGTAAGACACTGCGTCTTCGCAATGCCTACGGTCCTCCATTTAACCCTGACAGCATGCCAGCACCACGCGGCCACAAACCTCCAGAGGCGGACGCGTCGCTCCAGACGAAATCTCCTTCCCTACACAGGGTTACCACACTGCTTGGATGAAAATAGCGATTTTAAGCCTAGCGCAAAAGATGTCAACTTCTGTCGGACTTAGTTTGCAAATTTTGATGTGCAAGAATAGATAAAGTCAGCTCACAAGCTATCCGTAACTAACAATAATGTCACTTCAATAAACCTATCGGAACTCGAAGCAATAAGTCAGAGCCCCGTGAAAATGCTGCTGCATCAAAGTTGTCGGCGCCAACGTCGTGCCAGCACCGTTCTAGCCTCGTGTCGCGTTGATCGATCAATAATTGGTTTGGGCAGCCTTGCAGATTCGCATAACATGTTACAAATAGATAACTCAGCTGTTTTATTGTTTGCTAATCAGTTCTCTAGCCATGTAATTTTTGAATTTTGGGTATGTAATATAGAATCTACAGGCTGTTGCAAAAGGCGTGTCACATTTTAGCAGCCTAGGTCCTTGCGGCTGCCTCGCTAGGGACTTGTGCCGCGTTGGTAAACGTATCTCTGTGATCATTTTCGCTCGCATGGGCAGTAAATAAGGGCTCGCTATAGTCAAAAAATGCTGAAGAGGTACGTTCCGCGATTGCGGCGCAAGGCTCGAGCGAGGCGAACGCGAGGATTCCAGCCGTTTAAGCTGCGACATTCCCATTGAGATGGTCTATATATTGCACGAATTAGTTTTTACCTCAGTTTGTATAGTGCGTCCTGTATGCTGTTCGCTACGAAGTACAGCGGTTGATAATCGCTATCCTCATACTTTTGCACGGCTGTAATAGCCGGATCGAAGTCGCGATGCTCTGGCTTGTCCGAGCAGGCGTGCTAAAATCTCAGCTTTGAGCTTTAATTAATTCAATTCATAAACATACCTCGAGTTCGCCGTAGGCGGATATGAGCCCGGCACCTATGGCCTTTAGTTGACCACCTTCTCTGCACAATCCAAATTCGATTATAAACCAGTAAACCTGTAAAAAACTGAGTAACACTTGTCTCATTAGAAGATTTTCAAACATACGGTAGCCAGCTTTTCGATTTGCTCATCTGTTGCTCCTAGGCTCATCAGACCGATATCCTGAATCATACATGACGTTCAAAAGCCAGTGGAATGGTAGAAAAGCTGCCCTCAAAGTAGGGACCTTCATTTTGTCGATGGTTCTAAATTACCTTCTAGAAAAGGTGGTTATGCGGCCAATCTAGTTATCAAAACATTTGAATATTTTGTGAAAGATGGAACCCTCTATACCAAGATAGATCTCAGCTTATACCAAGATAGAGGGTTCCATCTCTCACGAAAAAATCCAAATATTTTAATAACAAGATTTGCCGCTCTCTAACTCCATTTTTAGAAGGCAATTTAGAACCATCGACAAAATAAATGTTCATATTTTCTGCTAAAAAGTCTACAAAAGTGATTTTTGTGTAATAAGAGCAGAACTCGACCTCTAGTCAAACTTTCCATAAATGACGAGCTTTACCTGACTCATTTGGGCCACCATTGGATCTGCAAACATCGGCACATGACCTAGTAGCTCGTGAATCAGATCAGGTTCCGGTGAGTGATGTGGTCTGCTGCTATGACGCAGGTATGTAGTAGTCTAAAGTTAGTGAAAAAATCACTATTATCTTTTAATATTTTCCATTGTATTGCGCCAGAAAACGAATAAAAAACCCCTTCTCGCCTCTAGGATTGTTAGCACAATATTTTTTTCAAAAGTTTACCTGAAAAACACGGAACGCAAGACTGGCTAAAAAGTCGCGAGCTGAGAGTAGACCAGAACAAGGACGGAGTATAAATCCTGTTCTCTCTGGAACAGCAACTTTTACTTTGGCCGAACATGTGGTTCAAAAACTTACTCTGCAGATATACATTCACATCCCTGATTTGTGGAATTTTTTCCGGTGTCAAAACTCCAGCATCTTCCAAGAGTTTTAAGTTCTTCCTGCAAAAATATTTTCTTCCAGGTTACTTTTTTCCAGATGATCTCACCTATAAGCCAAGCATGTATGACTTTCATGAAGTCCTCTCAGCTTTTCGTATACAGCCTTCCATGTCGCGTGTTCCTGCTCTGTGTACTCAACAATGGGTATGGGATCACCACTGTAAATTAGAACGTTTTTTTCGTTTCAAAAAATTTCAGGAATTGGCACTCACTGTTTGTATTGCATGGCATGATCGTTGAGGAAATTTCTTCTAGCTATGTACGTCGCATCGCCATGTCCCTGAACATCATTTCACATATACCTGCCTCAGCTGCAGTTTTTTTTTTGCCAACAGGAAAATTATCAGCTATAAATCTTGCAAAAGATGATAAAAATTAAAGGCTGCTGCATAACGAAGGCGCAAAAGCGATATCGGCTGAGCGGGCGCGAACGCGATGCGCGCATATTCTCATCGTTGTGAATCCTGCGGCTCATGCGCTCTGCGGCTAATAAAGCCGCGTTCGCGCCCAAAAATATTGCGCTTTCGTCTGCAGCAGCCTATACTTGGAGCATCCGTGTGGTGTCAGACTACACTACGGCTGAGACACCACGTTATACTGAACCAACTATGTGCAGGCACGTTTTGGAGTTACAGTAATCCCGTGATACCGTCCTCCTTCATCTCCTCCAATCATGAAAGAAATACATGGGTAAAATAATGCAACGTATCGCATTGCCCGTTTTTAGAGACTTGAAAAATCGAGAAAATCAAAAATCAAAAATTGTTCATATTTCTGCAACTTATGGCAAAACTATCATTATTATCGCAGTAAATAAGTGATTTTGAGCTGGGTTATTGATTCTAAGAGCGGTTCATGAATTATGGAGGTAAAGTCTTTTTTATCCATGGCTAAGTTGAGCTCACAAAATACGCAAATACAGCTACAAATAGCTCTTAACACTTGAGATTGCCATAAATTTTTTCGCCGCTACATTTTTGTCGTGAAAGAACCGTCGGATTGCTATAACTTCTTCTGAAGCCGATTTTTGAAGAAACTGAAAACATCACTGGACTAGTACGAATCTGGCGGTTTAGAAGTCTAATTTTCGAAAAGATTTTTGTTTGACCTATCCGACTATTTGTCGCGACAAAACCTCGCACGGCGCTAATTTCCTTGTCGATAAGTTTCACGGATCCAAGAGTACATTTTTGATTCCCGACAAGTTTCCGACTTGAAAGAATTTGCAAAAAGTATTGTACGGTTTTGTTTTGCTTATTATATCTTTGGACTTTTGGTCAGTATCTCAGTATCGGAAAGATGGGAAAAGTCTATACAACTAAGAAGAGTCATACAGTATATTAAATGCATGAGTAGAACATAAGCGCTTTTCTTTTGCTAGCGAAGGAAAGTGGGCGAGAAGGAGTGGGTAGCGGAAGCTGAAGAAACTCTCTTTTCCTCTCCTTCGTGCTATAACTTGCGAATCGTGCCTGACATAATAATTATCAAAAAAATTTTTTTTCTCATACCGGATGACGCGGATCCGTCATTGGATCGTATTTTGTGATGCAATGAGAGCATTTGTCAAGCTCAGAGATGTGTCGTGGAAACCATGGCACTGAAACAAGAAGATCACAGATCATAATATCTCAGTGGCTTCTATGCAGTAGCTTTTGACAATGACGGCATTTTCTAAATGGTTTATGCAATGCTCCGTTCTTACTTGCCCAAACACGGACGAGTTTGCGATGTTATAAAAGGTGGGCAAGTTGTTAGTAAGTTTATTATATACCGGTAGCCTTGTTAGCCTTGGTCTGGAACATAGTGGATGCTAAAAGGTTGAATTATCCTCATTTTCGAGACTAATTGAGTTCAGCAAAATTGTTTCTCGATTGGACTTCTGTCTAATGCAGCGGAAAATCCAAGTCCTGCTCCATCGGAGTCTATTATATAAATCCAACTAAAACTGTGTGGAATAACTTTTCTGCAGCAGTAGTAAGGTAAAGGTAAAGCTTACCCTCCTCTACGGCGTTCTTCTTGTAAAGAGCAAAGCCAGTTAGATTTACATGCTCTTTCGTAAGAGTCGCAGCAGCCGCTATTAGCTGGTCTTTCGTTGCATCACAATCAGCTAGCAGATCCCATCCTATTGTTGAAACATTGTTTTCGGATTTTTCTTATAAGAATTTGATGAGACAATCACATTGAGAAAAGGCTAGAAATGTTTGGACTACTAGGCCAAATTGTAGCTAATTTGTAAGCATTTTCTATTCATTTCACTGCGCTGAAAATCACTTATATAGACTTACCTTTTCCGAATTTGTGTTGTCTAGTCTCGACATGGCTTATGCGAATCTCATTTGATGCAAACGCTTGAATTACCTCTCGTACAAAAGGAGCAAGTTCACCTAAAAAATGCATGTAAATATTTACCATTTAGCTAGTAGATTTCAGGACTAGTTAGGATTAATATAGATAATCAAGTCTTCAATTGTTGGTCACGACCTCCTCGACGTGGGATTATTCAGCGAATTAAGAGCGGAGACTCACTGGAACTGCTAAGCACTGCTGTGAACCCAATGCTACCCTTATCAGCTGCCCAAATCAGTTCCACACCTTCGTCATTGAGTTGTTGGAAAATCTGCAGTGATTTTCTTTGCTTTCTCAGATGAACAGAATTCAAGCTTAGGCTTGTTATTGCCATTTCTGAGGTAAAGTTACCGATGAACAGAATTCAAGCTTAGGCTTGTTATTGTCATTTCTGAGGCAAAGTTACTGGCCTGTTCGCCTTTGGTGACTTCCACCAGCTGTTCTCGGAATTTCGTAGTGTTCCTTCTTCGCAGTCCTGCATGCATAGCCGTTTCACAGCTGGCCTGATGTACCAGCGAGTATCGGCGAGGGGTTCGTGGACTTCCATTTTCCTAGATCAGATCATGCAGAAAAATTGTATCACGGGTGAAGTTGATTGTAGCTATTTTTGATTCATCGTAAGAATTTAGTTGTGCATTGCAAGAGCTCAAATTTTCTTTTGAAAGAGGGATTTTCAAACCGTTCAATAAATTTCCTTGAGAGGAACATTTACTAGACATAGAAAACTTTGTCGCTTACTACTGCTGTTATCTATCAGGATACGGTAAGTTTACGCAAAGAGAACTGCTTTAGTGTCTGGGAATTTGCAAATAACATCGTAAAGAATTCAATCTGATCATACCGTTCGTACTACCACGAAAGAATATTATTGTACTTGTTTTTAGCTGCTTTGGTGTAAATATAGAAGGAACGACTTCACAGTTTTCTGTAAACTTGAGCAGTGTTGTAGGTTTTCGTCTTTTGCTTATACAAAACTATGTAATCACTTTTTTTGCTCATCTATGAATAACGGATTTGGTAAAGGAAAGTACTGCAAAAGTTCTACTAAGTCAAAGAATCGCAATTTTGAGTTGTTACTTAATTTCCGATATGTTCTAACTATGGTCTGATTCTTCAAATCGGAAATGTATTCAATGAACAGGAAGCATTGGGTAACTGGTAGCAAAATTATTAAGCAAGCTGCTGTTCACTAGTAGATTTCAGAAGTTCCCAAAGCGTGGCTCAATAATATAATTTTAGCTGCACACTATTTGTTTACCGTTTATTGCTTTCTCCTCATGCTCTTAGGTGTTTGGCGCAGAAATACTCAGTAGAACATTTGCATTCAAAATATTGGTCGACTTCAGTATCCGCATTTAAAAATTAATTTGAAATTTTGTGCTTGATTTAGATTCTGTTTCGAATTTTAGCGTCACTATTGGATACTTACCGCCTGTGACATATTGTAGGTCTTATATAGACAGCCTTCGCCAAGGTTACAGCGTCTTAGTATCCTGGGTCTGCAATAAATATACTGCTTGATCTACCGGTGCATAGATTTCCATTAAGGTGATGGCTCTTAGATTCAGTATAAAATATAACGTGCTTACCTTCGAACTCGCATCGCTGAGGGTATCAATCAAAGCTAGACAACGTTATCAATAAAAACATGCTATGAGACTTTTGTTTTGTCATTACTACGCACTTTTCAGGTAAACAACGAACTTCGTGTCATGATTTATGATGCGATGTTTCTTTGATAGGTGCAAAGGGTCCAAAAAGACAAACCTACCTGGTTAGCTGACAGCTCACCTTAAGATGGTCTGCTGCAAAGCTGAGTGTATGTTTTTCGGTGCGTAGCAATGAGCTTTAATAGCTTCCGTACATGTATCAGAGACAAGGTAATTGCATCCGCTCTGCACCTTTGCATCCATCCATTATCTCAGGCATAATATTCGGTCATTAATATGTCTCAGTAGAGAAATTTATATTATTACCTCGTATTCCGGCCCACTCGCCCGAAGATAAACAAAGTTCACTACAGTCGAAGGGAGAGTCCATGACACCCGCGGAAACAATGATTCAGTCATTTACATCAGTAAACGGGTTACATCCTTATGATGTGGTTCATTTTACGTCCAAATCACACCTGCGCATTCTCAATGCAGGCAGGATGATAGCTGAAAAACAATCGTCTCAGCTGTGCTGCGGCGCTTTGATGGCAAGGATAAGATGATTTTAGGTCTCGACAGGAAAATCCTACAGAACCCTTAAGACACAATTTTTGTATTTTTGGTATCGGTTAGTTTTGTTGATTCGTTGATCACACGAACTGGAAATCACTGCAGAGCACGCGCTGCGAGATGAAACGCTTGCCCCAGTACAAATCCGCCATTGTACAAGTCGTGCTCTCGCGACAATTCAGCCGCGCGGCGCGTGGTCCGCAACGTTTGAGCTGTCCTTGCGGTCAACGAATGGACGATACGGCCACCAATGTCTGCTATGATAAGATATCATGGAAATACCCATGCCTCTGGTTTGCCCACTGCATAATTTTTCTGCCTCTCAAATATTTCTGCTAATCAACCCAATCACGTGAGAATAATTACTTCCCTCGAAATTCTTTTTTTGCAGTTCCACGTCATAGTATGTGGGATACACTCCTCCCCCTAACTCTCCCACCGGAGCTTCGATATTTTTCATGAGGAAACGTAGGGCTGAGTTGGAAATGCGTAAGCGCAGTTTATGCGAAATCCTTTGGATTGTGGAGTTAAGCCATGCTCTCAAAAGACGAATGTTACTTTCAAAAAGCTAAAAAAGACTTTTGACATAGCACGTCAGAGATATATCTGTAAAAGATCACATTTTTGAGATGTTTTTTTCTCTAAAGTGTGGGGTTCATTCATTAATTTTGTCTCATTGAGGGCTCTTATTGTCGCCATTTTCAGTCCATGCAAACTGAAACCACTTTATTCTTCGACAGCATAGTGCATAAGATATCCGTAGAGGCAAACAAGAAGAATTTATAGAATAAAACGCAATCTTATGGAGACAACACCCGATAGTTAGGAGCTCAGTTTTGACATTGAAGTCTCGTAACGTGGAAAGATAAGGTTGAAAAGAATTCGAGAAATTACTTCTCCTAGCACAACTGATAAACAAAGCCAAATGTTGAAGGTCATGAAAGTCATTATAAGCAAATAGGATAGAACTAGCTGTACAAGATGAAGCACAGCATCGACAAGCACGAAACCGGAAAATCTTGGAGCAAACCTGAAAGTTTATCACCTCTTCAAAAAAATCGTTGGTTAAAAAGAACCTACCGTAATCTTTCATTTACGGGAATCCGTTGAGTGTCGTTATAGGTTCTGAGAAAACGAATAAGCTCTACGACGAAACACATCATTATGACGGCAAGGCAGGATAGAACAATTCCTGGAAAATACATTGACTTTAGTTTAGAGGTAATTATGAAATGCGTACCTGAGGCTGTTGCAGATCTCCAGAAACTAAAAAGAATTGTTTCCGCATGTCCAGTATGAAACATCATTTTTTTATTTGAAATATCATTTCCAGGTGGAGTTAAAGTTTGCGGAAACTGGTCAAATCCTAGGCTCATCTGTAAAACCTTCTACTGTCGACTTTATATAATTATCAAGAAAAAATTACAGCTTTAGCACATTCAAGTGACTGACAAAACAAGAATATGCTGTTAAAAAACCTCGTTGCTATGAGAACGCAGTTCAACTGTTTTCTGATTTTCGCCATTCTGGTAAACACTAAGTTCTAAAGAATCACAACAACCATACTATGTGCTATATAAGTACGATTATTCATAGAAGACCTGCATGAAAGGAGAAAGGACATGCACCCAATACTTATTTCTAAGTTCTTGTCTTCCTTTACTATACCTAATAAGGGCATGTGAAAAGTTCTTTGACTAAGAGCACAAAGGACAGTATGAAAACATGCCATTAGACGGAACTCCAGAAAGTTCTGTCTACCGTGGCATTTGCTAATCAAGAACTCGTGGGATAGCACGATTAGTCTAGAGTCTTTGAATCAAATAAGATTGAACCTAAGGTTCCTTTGCTCCTTTTGAAAATTTCAACTTCCTGCTGTCTCAACAGCAGGAAGTTGAGATGCAACATTCCTCTTCGGTGAATGCTGTGACTGTTTAGTGCTAGAGAATGGAGGAAGTCCCTAAATTTTGAATATTTTAAAAAAGTTCGGCAAAATTTGAAATATTGCATTGAATTACTAAGTTATGAGTATTATAGCTTAGAGAGGTGTATCTGGTGAGAAAAATTATGTGCTGTTCGAAAAAAACTGAAAAATCTAAAAAATATAACTTGTGAGAAAATTTCCCACAGTAAACTCATTTTTTTATGATACTTCAAGCGGCGGAAACTCTGCTTAGCGTCACGAAAAGTTTCAAAACTATTTTTACATGAGAGGGAAAATTGTCGTGAACCTACGTTTCATGACCTCCTCTTTTTAGCTAAGTGGAGTTCGAGCCGATCGAGAGCAGGTTGACTTTCGTGAAAAAAAAAACGCGGAGCATTTACGTATAAAAAATCATAACTTTTTGTAGGAGCATTCGCTCAGCAGACTTTTGCCTAGTAAGAAAGACGAGATCATAGAACATTTGTTTTTGCTTCTTTCTATATTTTTTGTAAGGTTTGTGGATTTTTGGTGAGCTTTCCCAAAAATTACCAAAATTTGAGTTTTCTTATTTTTTCATTTTTAATTCTGCGACTTGTGCGTAGTAGGACGCATTTGAAGTAAAGTTAGAAACCGCACGGCATGTACAGCAGATAGCAGCGAGTTACAATTTTTTAAAAATAATGCGGACGAACTTTTGCAATGACCTAATATGATTATTTTTATATTGAGTTATGTATCCTTCAGGTTTATCTTTCAGCAAGATATGACTTGTAAGACAAAAAGTTTAGTGTTGATTGATCTAGACGTCTTCGTAAAATTGACATGTCAAATACTTTTGCACTGTTTCTCTCGGAACGTTAGAAGAAAGCTAGTCAGTAAATCGGTCATCGACCTGCACATATTTTTGTAATCTACATACAAGGTGTCCCAAAAAAATGTTAACACTGTTTGATCGTTAATAACTCTCTTGATTTCATGTCTTTCGGCGAGCTTGAGGCACCATTCTGTAAAGCGAGGTTCAACTTAGATTTACAGTATGGAGCGAATCACCGTTCGCTCTTCGTTACGGTAGCATTACGGAGGGAAATTCCAGCATGTGACTGCCGTGAAATATGCCCTCTGACGAAAATTTCTTCAAAAAATCTGAAAAATCGTGTACAACGGTTTTCGCGCACGTTGATTTTACTACACAACTTTTTACGAGTGTTTTCAGCTTTTTTGACGATGTAATCACATTTTTTACACATGCTGGGAAGTCAGCTATTACACTTTACGTAGGATAACTTTGAAAAGAAGTATCTTAATAAAGTGGAAATTTCATATTTGAAATCACCGGCTTTCATTACCATAGTACAAGAGATTTTGGCTTGTTTGGCTCTGTTTTGAAGCAGAAAATGGCCT